AAAAAAAAAAAAAAAAAAAAAAAAAAACAATATTTCGATAAATCCTAACAAGGCAAAAGATAAAAACTGAAGTGCACAATATAACTTTCCAAACAATTCTAGCATGATGACGTTTAATCTTCGTTAGACAAAGAATCGCTTACATTAGCAGAGACTACAGAAATGGAAAACACTGATTTCAACTTATATTCGGCATTTAATAAGTGTTGAGTAAGTAAAGAGATATCCAAATTTAAAATGCGTCAAAGAAACGTCTTTAAAGAATGAAGAAAACAATTGGAAAATGAATTGCAGACGATTAGTAACACCTAATTTGCGATGCTAAAAAAACTGTAAACTTTCGTGTGAGTTTGCTGGAAGACCTCTGAAGTTGAAGTAACAATAAAAAAATTTGCTAGTTTTAGAAGTTTTTCACAAGTATCATTTCTGTTCTGTAACTTTTCTTTTACTTAGATAAAAAGAATCAAAGATTTTTAACAAAGCAAAAATTCCACACATTATTTTCTCCGCCTATCACTTTTAGACAACAGTTAATTTTCAGTTTTTTATAATTCTACGGATGTGACGAACTGTCGGTTCCTAGACATGCGTCGTCGTTATCGGTTTTTTTTCGAGACTTTTTTCTCTTTCCTTGCTTAACAATAACTGTAACTTTTACTTATTGCGTATCCTTCATCTTTCAAACGTTAACTTTAACAGTTGGCAAACTGGTGATAGTTTCAGATCGGTTAGTGCATAGTGAAAATGATTTAATAAATCTTCTTAGTTTAATGGTAATACAATTGTTCACCGCTGATTAGTTGAAACAGTTTTGAAAATCCGATATATGACTCTATGCAACAATAAAATTATGTAATCAATTTGTAAAGTAGTTCAATACAATTTTGAGCTTTCTGAATAAGTTAAGTTGATAAAATTTAGCACACCTCCAAACCAAAAATTAATATATACATTTGCGCTAGTGCGCTAACGCGCAAACCTATATCTCAATTTACAGTTTGAAAAACAGTTACAGTATACATTTCGAAGGGAACAACCTCAGCCTTTTTTGTTGAAAAATTTACTAATATAGCTGCTTAAGATCCAACTTGAAAGTAAAACAAAAATTCCTCTACAGACTACCTACCGTATTAAATAGCATCGTCTTATTTGTTTATTTCAAAACTGTTTGTTGCAGCTAGGTGGCCAAAAAAACATTCAAGGTAACTAACCACTTAGCAAGTAAACCAGAGTGAAACATTTAAGTATTTCCTAAAAGAAGCTTTTTTTGGTAAGGTGAGGTGAAGGTATAGTTGTGAGACGGGCTGAAAAGTGATGGTATTATAAAAGTATAAGCTAATCGTAATTGTTGTTGAAAAGTTTGGCGTATAGGAAAAACGATTCATTTCAAAAAATTTAGTAGCTTTTTGCAGAATATTTTTACAAGAATGGAGAACGAGTACAGTGGGGAAGAAAACCCAGGAAACTTATCAGTTAGAATTTTAAATAGAAAAATTTGGGAAGACTTCTCTGCACTTTCAACTGAGATGATTTTAACGAAGAATGGACGGTAAGTTGTTTTAGCGATTATTTTTGCTTATTGGCTACTAAACACATAAATCTGGTAGCATTTTTTTTTCTTTAAAGCACTAAAGTGATATCCATTTAGGAAATTATTTCCGAGACTGCAGTATGGAATTACTGGTCTGGAACCCGAAAGACGCTATTTGATAGAGCTTCAGTTTCACCTCGTCGACAACAAGAAGTCGGTTAATTGGCTTAATTGCTCAACTGAATTTTTGTTGGCTAAGAGAAAGAAAAAAAAAAGAGGCAAATGCTCAGGTACAAATTCAAAGGGGACGCGTGGATGGAAACCGAATGTTTTGAATCAGACTCTTCATTACCGACGGTATTACACCCAGATGGGTGGCAGAATGGCAGTATATGGATGCAATATGGGATCAAATTTGATCACATCAAAATTACAAACACTGTTGGTTCACAAGAAAATGTATGCCACTGAAATCTTTTTAAAAACAATAAATTTGTATCTCAGCCGAATGTTTAGTAAGTCATTTACTGCTTTTAAATCATTTACAGGTGCTACTGCAGTCGATGAGGAAGTATCAACCAGTAATTGCAGTCTATACTCTAAAGGATTATACAGAGCAACTGAACAGCAATAGCAGTTTTTACGTACCGCAGGAACGGGTTTTCAAGATTTTTGAATTTTATAGTCCAATCCAGCAGTTTATAGCCGTCACAGCGTATCAAAACTTTAGAATAACCGCTCTAAAGATAACCAGTAATCCTTATGCTAAGGGTTTCCGTAATGGACCAACTAAAAGAAAGAGTTCACTTTCAAGTACAGGTATTTTCTTCCTACTCAGTTACTAAATGGCTTTTTTGACACAGTGGACTGACAAGACCTTTTTGTAAGCAACTTATT